GAAGCATGTAAAATCAGAGTTTAGACATGAACTTGATATATAAAAGACTGCAAGACATGTTGGAACTTATTATTTGATATGATTGAACACTTTGTTAAGTTAAGCAAATGTATTAAAATGACACTTATCTAAGTGCAGTCTTCAATAACAATATCAGATTCAGAGCTGCTAATTCTTGAAGATTTAGTTAAGGCTTTAAAGCCTGTATAACTAGGAGCCGAAGCACTTTGCCATCAAGACTTAGATTTGGTTAAAGCAGAAAAAGTTTTTTGTTTTGTTTTAAGCCAACTACAATCATATGAATCTGACATAAGCAAAAAACTTATATGGCGCATTAAAAACAAGAGATTCAAGCATAAGAAATCATAGCAACCCTAATTTTCTATTATCTGGTAGTGTAGATGCTTTTGGAGTAAAACCGAAAAAATCAGCAGTTATATTGTTAGCTATCTTTTACTGAGGCTTTTACCTCAAGCCATCAAAGAAGATTGTAAAGAAAATACTAACGATGATTTTGAAATTGAAGTAGAAAAAAATTTAGATAAGAAAACACAAAAAAAGCTGAAACAAGAATTAAATAATTAAGAACTCAGTAACTTTAGTAAATAAAAAATTTGATACCTTTTTAAAAAGTTACTACAAAAATAATAAAGGTGATAAAAATTAAAACTAAAATAGGTTTCTTGATATGTAATGATAAGAAATTTATTTTACAAAGTTAACTGTGGTTATATATATTTTAAAAATAAAAATTTCTTGTGTATAATAGTTTTTTTATTTGTTTTTAAGTTAAAATTGGATCCAGATTCAGATCCGGGTCCAAATCTTAAAAATCTGGGTAGGATCCGAATTCTAACTATTTTGCCAGATCCGTTATGCTCTAGTTCCCACTGTTGAAACTGAGACTTAAAGTAAGGATTTTAAGAAGATTTAAGGAGATATTTCCCTAATATTTGAGGAGAAGACGTGAATGCAAAGAAAAAGTAATGAGAACTAAAGAGAAAACGACTACATTAAAAACAGAATCCTTTTTCAATAAATTTTAAATATAAACAGAGAAATTATTATAAACTATATATATATATATAAATAAATATATATATATATATATATATATATATATATATATATATATATATATATATATATATATATATATATATATATATATATATTTATACATATTTTTTGTACCTGTATTTAAACAGCAATGATTTTATTTTGTTATATTTTAGTTTTGGAAAACTCTATACCTCTTTTTTTTATTTGTATCTGTTTCATATAACTTCAAATAAATTTAATGATTTCCTTTTTTTCTCTTTAAAGCGTGTTTTATGATTATTGTCATCTCCTAGACTATAACCTGTTTAACTCAAAAGTTTTTCAAAAATATGTCAACCTGGTACTCAAATGAAGCGAAATTATACAAAAATTTTAAAAATAATATTCATTTCGAAACAAAATTGTTATTATTGGTTTTATTACATAAAAAATTGCGTTTTTTAAGAAAAAATAATAAAAAATGCATTTCTCATGTTTTTTTATGATAATTTTGATAAATAAGTTAAAAACATTTCGAAATGAATATTATTTTTGAAATATTTATATAATTTTGTTTTTTGAGTACAGGTTGACATATTTTTGAAAAACTTTTTTTTCGAAAATATTAGGGACCCATTAAATATTCGAGGGTCTTGAGGGACCCCTTAAAATATTTTTTATTCAAAAAAAAATTTAAACCTAGTGTTTTTGTATTAGAAATACAAAAACACTAGGTTTAAGATAGAACACATAAAACACAAATAAAAGACCATTAACGAACACAAGCAAAAAATAGGATGTCAAAGACTTGTCAGCTCAAACTGGTTTTCGAAAACTATTTTCAGTAATGAAATGAATAAATTTTCAGTAACTAAAACTCAAAGGCTAGAAATTTTATTTTATTAAAACCTAAAAGTTAAAAGAAAGTTTTTAGTTTCTTTCAATTTTTTCTTTCTGTAAAATTATTTATTTACAAATAAAATTTAAAAGACTGTCACACCCAGTTGCAATAAAATTTATAACAAAGATGAGAGAGGGATTGGAGAAGGAGGTAAAGAGAGGGGTTGGAGAAGGAGGTAAAGAGAGGGGTTGGAGAAGGAGGTAAAGGGCCTTGAGATATAAATTAGTATACATATAAGTATAATAAAAACTAGATTAACTCAAAAAACCTTTTAATTCTTTACTTTGTTCACGCATTTTATAATTTAATGTTCAAAAAACATTTGATTTAAAAAATGTTTTAACTATTTAAAAATGCTAAAACAAACCATGTGACTTAGTATATAAGATAAAACAAATTTTTTGTAACCTATTGTTCACATTGTCTTTGTATTAAAGTAAATAATTAGACACGGCAATAAACAAAATTATTAGATCAAAATTTATTTCGAAAGAAATTCTCTTACTATTTTAAAAATTAACAAATAAAAAATCTTCAAAACAACAAATTTAAGTCTTGATTTAAATTTTAAATAAACTTAATTTATATATATATATATGTATATATATATATATATATATATATATATATATATATATATATATATATATATATATATATATATATACATATATATATATATATATATATATATATATATATATATATATATATATATATATATATATATATATATATATATATATATATATATATATATCATATATCATTGCCTACTATAGTGGCAGGCCAAGTAAACATATGGCTTTAAAAAACTGTAGGCAAGTTTTAATTTTATAAACTTCAAATTAATAATTTGTAACATGGCACCTACCAAAAAAAGAACGTGGTCTTTTAATTTAACATGATTTGTGTAATAAAATATTATCTACAACTATCTTTTACCTTTTCAATAATATCAAATATCTATAAAAAATGTTTACATCATTCAATCTGCTGATATATTGGACTTGGTATGAACTTACTATTATTTTTTCGAAGTATGAACTTATTATTATTATACGGATGTTAAGTATGAACTCCTTAATGTTTATTGGTAAAAAATATGTATTTTCCTAATATAATTGCTTGGGCATTTGAGTATTATATATTTTTGAATTAATTGTAGTTTTAAAAATTTGTTCTTTATTTGGTAAAAAAAACATTTTTTGTATAAAGCATTAACAGTAACAGGATGATCAAACAATCCAACAAAAAATTGTGGCAGTTCTATTTAATGCTACTCTTTCATAAGTATGTTTGCCTTAAACATTTTACTAGTATTAAGAAAATTTATCACTATTGAGAAAGCATTTGGAAAACTTCGACAAAGATCAGGTGGTACCTATTTTATAAATGTTCATAAAATATTACAAAAAATTGACATTAAAAAAACAAAACTTTGTCTGAATATTGGTATCACTGCCAAAGATATAGAAATATTATCAAGCCATTTGTGTGACAAATGTAATTATGTAATGCAAGATGATATTTTGTTCACTATGATACATAATCTTCCAGTTATTGAAAGCAATTTGTCTAAAGAAATTAGAATATCTTTGGTTTCATTGCTGGCTATGTCAATAGAGTTGATCCTCCAGTTGAGGATTTTGTTTAAATTTTGTTTTGACCAGTTTGGAGATAATATCAGAGAGATTAATTGTGGTGGTTTAGGATTGCCTGGGGATAACATTTGCTCATTGAATATTTTATTTATACATTTTATTTCATCGCCTGTACACTTTTGCGTGTCGTGTCAGCTTATGTAACTGTTTTTTGATGGTATCTGACTTTTAAAGGTTTACCAATGTTTCAAAAAAAGATTGTAGAATCCTTAATATTTTTTAACAATTATTGCCATCTTTATTACTCGCATTTTTCAAAGGAACCCAAAATGGAAAAGTTATCTTAAATGTTCAATATTTTATATATATATTTTATATTATATATAAATATATTACATATATTTTAACTAATTGTAATAAATTTTGAAAAGTTATTTTTTAAAATAGATTTTAGAGATTTTAGCACAATAAAAAGCAAGTTTTTACTATATTATATCTAATAAATATTGGTTTGCATTTATTATACAAATTTTTTTCATTTTGGTTGAATTCATTTATTTGTTATAAAAAACTTTATTTATGACTTATACATAACTCATTATTTATCAAAAATCAAAAAAAAAACTGTATTCTCCCATTAAAAAAACTTGCCTAGTTTTTTTAAAAGCGATATGTTTACTCAGCCTGTCACTATAGTAGGCTATATATATATATATATATATATATATATATATATATATATATATATATATATATATATATATATATATATATATATATATATATATATATATATATATATATATATATATATATATATATATAAAATATATATATATATATATATATATATATATATAAAATATATATATATATATATATATATATATATATATATATATATATATATATATATATATATATATATATATATATATATATATATATATATATATGTATATATATTAGGGTGCGACAAATCGTTTTTTTAATATAAATGTTGGCGGTCGTATCTTTATTTATTGACAAACATTTAATTTTAGATATATATGTTAAATAAGCCAGTTTTTCATTTCTTTCAGTTTTTATTTTTTTTTATTCAAATAATTTTTTATTGAATTATGTCTTATTTTCAGTAGTATGCAAACAAACATTAATTTAACAATATAAGAAAATAAAAATAAAAACACGCTTTTTAAGAAACCAATGTTTAAGCATGGTTTCTTTTAAAGTAATTGCAAATGCATTCATTTTAACTAAAATTTTAAATGCTTTTGTAAATGCATGTAAAAACCGTCAATTTGTCGCGTACTATACATATACATACATTTATACATACATACATACATACATACATATATATATATATATATATATATATATATATATATATATATATATATATATATATATATAATTTTTATTATGGTGAAGCAAGTGACAGACCTTTTTACCTTCTTCATTGAAATCGCATTGATTATTAGTTAGGATATCAAAATACAAATTAATCTTTTCGTTCTGGCTTTTATAAACTAAATAAAAAATAAAAATAATACATCATATTGCTGTTATTTCAAAACCTATACCAGTTTTAAATATCAAATATATACAAACATGCAGATTTAGCTGCCTATTCTTACAAAAATCAGTCAATTTTATTCTGCCAAGCCAATCCATAAATATCAGTTGATATAAATGTTTACTTAATGTGCCTACCCCTATATAACTTAGGTGATAAATGCATCAATATATGTATGTATAAAATAAAAATAAAAAATAAAGAAAATTAAATTTAAAAAGTAAAATAAAATAAAAATTACTGACTTCATCATGCTAAAATTCTATTGCCATGTAATCAATTGTGTACAAACTTAATTCTCATTTAATCAATTGTTACAATCTTAAACCTATTATCATGTAATCAATTGCTTACAAACAGGATTTTCTGTAGCAGGGGACTACATCATGCTAAAATTTAAATATTTAAAATGTTCATTAATATTTCTATTTTTTTTAGTATAACAAGGTTTAGTATGGAAATTAGTTGTGGTGTAAGAAGAAAAATCATAAACCATAACTTCAATTGGCTGTAATAGCACTCCAAATCATGATTTTAGAGCAATGTTTTAAAGTATAAAGTGTACCTTGTTGGGTTGTATCAGTGGCTAGGCAGATGTCTAACAATTGTTAGAAGAACAAATTAACTGATGGAACAGTTACAGTAAAAAAACTTTTACTGTAACTGTTCCATCATACTCAAAAAGCTTTTATTGTAACTGTTCCATTATACTCAAAAAACTTTTATCTAGTATTTTTCCCGCAAAAATCAAAAGTAAAAAAAAATTGAAAATTTTTAAATTAAAAAAAATTGAAAACTTTTAAATTTAAAAAAAATTAATTTTTTTTTTATATTAATAAAAAATTTTAATATCAATTTTTTTTTATATTAATAAATAATTTTAATATCAATCAATATCATAAAATTTTTTTTGTCTAAAAAAATTGTCAGCAAAATCAAAAAACTGTTTAATTTTTTTAACAAAAAATTAAATAAATTTCTGATTTAATTTAAAATAAATTAAACTATATTGTAAATATTATATAAACAGAATATGAAGAATAGAAAAAAATTTTTTTGTATAATAAATCACAATATTTATATGCAATAGGGTAATAACAAAAATAAGAATTACCATAATCTAAAATTGTTTGTGCTCTTTCAGCAAAAATTTTTCTTGATATTGGTGAAGCCTTAAGTAAATCAATAAAATACCAGTTGAACAAATAGGAACCAACATTATTTTTTCCTTTGTTATCATCACTCTTAAAGTGTTCCTAAAATTTATAATTTTAAACATTTATTATGCAATAATATGATTATACTATAGACTAAATAAACTGCCTTTAATAGTAACAACAGACTAAGGTCTGGGAAAGAGTGGTTTGATCAGTGAAGAAGAATGTAGCGACCAGTGAAGAAGAGTGTAGTGACCAGTTAAGAAGAATGTAGTGACCAGTGAAAAAGAATGTAGTGAAATGTGAAAAAGTGAAAAAGAATGTAGTGACCAGTAAAAAAGAATGTAGTGACCAAAAAGATGTGATTTTTATGATTTTTATAACAGACTTTTATATAAATAAAAAAGAGGATCCGAATTATGTAAAACAACTGAAATAAATTAAAATTTTCTATAAATTATCCTTTTTTCTAAAAGCTCTCTTTCTCTCTTTTACAAAAAAAAAAATAGTACAAATCCTAAGTTTTACATAAACTAAATTTAAATTAAAAATATGATACATTAAAATCTTAAAAAAAAAAAAAAAAAAAAAAAATTTTAAATTACCAGAAAAAGCTCTTGATCTAGCAGTTCATATTTGCATAATTTCTAAATGTAAGATACTCGTTTGTTTCATTAAATTGAAGTTCACTTGTATTTATTTGAATACATATTTTTATTTGCACATTTTACTTTTATAATTAAAAAAAAACAGACATTTTCTTCTATAAAAATTGTAATATAATCACTGTCTCTGAGTAATTTTTTTTAAAACATTTTTAAAAGTATTTCAAAAGATTATTTACAATAAACTTTTAAAATACTTCAAAATACGTTTTATTTACTTCATAACTAATTTATTTTTCCATATAAAGGGAACAACTCTATAAAAACATTGGATTATACTATCAAACTATCCAACCATACCAGTATTAAACTCAATATCCAATACCAGCCCATGCCATTATTAAACCATCAAAAATGCGATAAACTACAAAAAATGTAATCCTCTTACCTTAAGAAGTTATTGTCAACTAAAACATGAATTAAATGCATTTTTTTTAAAAAAGTACTTTTAAGATAAAAATGCAACTTTTTTTTTTGTTTTTTTAGTAAAAAAAGGAAAAAATAAATTGACGACCCACCCATATTTATTAAGGGTGGGTCATCAAATTAAAACAAATTTAATAAAATTCCAAAATAAATATATATAAAAGAACATTTTAACAATAAAAAAAATCTAACAATTTAATATATGCTAAACAAAGTTACAAGCTTTTGTTTTGAAATTATTTTGTTACTTACAATTTAATAAATTAGTTGTGATACTAATAAAAAAAAGAAATAGATGATGCAAAAGAAGATTTAAACTTTGTTCAAATGGTATTAAAGATAAAGACGATTTTGGTATCTAAGTGATACATTAGAGAGAGATATTATTGACCTGATCTCATGGGATAATCCTTTTCCAAAAACTCTTTCAAAAAATATGGTCCTTTTTTTAAATTTATTTCAAAACTACCAAAATTGCATATTAGTAGAATATTATGATAAAAGAATCAGTATACTTGATCATAGCTTTAATTAGAGAAAGGAAATTTTTTTTATAATTTGAAAGAAAACTATCTAATTAGATAACTCTCTCTAGTTCCTTTTTTTTAAACATAATTCACCTCCTCAAGACCAAGAAGGCCACTAAAAGCGAGGAGGCTAATTAATTGTGGTTATAACCCTCTCTCAACTCCAAAACACAAACCATGACAAACAAGGCCACTGTGCGGAGAAACAAGTTAAGTGTGGTACTATTAGGCATGTGGTGGGTATCAAACTCGGAACCTCTTGCTTATGAAACGAGCGCTCTACCACTACACCACTACCATACTTAGAAAAATCTTTATAGCTCTAATTAGAAAGAAAACTCTCTCTAGTTTTAATTAGATAACTTTTTTTCTAGTTCTATTCAGAAAGAAATCTCTCTCTAGTTTTAGTTGGAAATCTCTCTCTAGTTCTAATTAAGAAACTTGGTCTAGTTCTAATTAAAAAGAAAACTCTATAGTTTAAATAAAAAAAACTCTTTTTTTTTTTTTCAAAATCTTCACTTCCAACGAGGCTTCAACAACCACTGCTAGAGTTAAAAATTACTGGAAGAGAAAATATGAGGCTTGTAGAGCAAGATAACAATTGACAGACGAATTAAAAGATTACAAATTATATAAATTAGGAAAACAAGATGAAGGAAGCGAATCCTGAAAGCCTGATATTCAAGAAAAAATAAAAAATAAAATAAGAATATTTGGAGCACTGAAAAACAGTCACAGTAAAAGGATGAGACTTGATTGAATGACGAGGAACACAAGAATGAATTTTAGTAGATGGCACAAGAGCCACTAGCTCTTTAGAGAGTGCTCATTATAGTATTTAAAGAAAAGAGAAAGAGATGCAACATTATGAGGATGTGATAATGGTTGGACGTTGAAAACATAACGCAACTGTTTAAAAATGGCAGTAGAAATAAAGTTTCAAATTATAGGCCAGTTTCTCCGACTTCAATTCTTTGTAAAACTTTAGAATGTTTAATATCTAACAAACTCTTACATTATTTAAAGATTACCAATTTATTATTTTCTAATCAGCATGGTTTTACAAAAAGTAAAAGTTGCACAACTAATCTCTTAGAGTACATGGATATAGTAACAACAAGTGTTGCAAATGATAAATTGTTTGATATCCTTTATACTGATTTCAAAAAAGCCTTTGACAAAGTTTCACATAGGAGATTAGCACTAAAACTTAAAGCATATGGCATTACATCTACGTCATTGAAGTGGATATTTTCTTTTTTAACTGATAGGAAGCAAAGAGTTGTATTTGGAAAAAGTGTATCATCATGGGTAGACATAGTAAGCGGCATACCACAAGGTTCTGTGCTTGGTCCAATTTTATTTTTAATATACGTCAATGATTTTCCAAGTCAACTTACAACCCAATTGTTGTTGTATGCAGATGATTGTAAAGTAATAGCTGAAGTTAATAATGAAACGGATGCACATGTAGAGTTGCAACCCCAAAAAAAACAGACTGGTTCTAAAAACATGTTTTTTATAGTTTTTTTTTGCTTTTTTTTAGTATTCATTAAATTTTAGATAGTAATAATACTTGAAAAAGTTCCAGTGCCCTTAAACCTACAAAATACAAATGTTTTCTATTTAATAAAATGCATATTAACTTATATAATAGCTGTTACAAACTAATCACCAATATTAAAAAAAAACAGTATTAAATATTTAAAAAAGTAATTTTTTAAATAAATCTCAAAAAAACTATACTATTAGCTACTAGTTGATTGTAAGTATAATACTACTGAATGAAGGAAATAAAAATGTTATTTTAGCAGTGTTATTTCATTCATAAAAATGAATGAAATAACACTGCATTGCAAAATACAAAATTGAACCAACTGTTAAATAAAATTTACTTTAATGTTTTATTTACTTTAGTATATTACTTTTTTAAATTTTTAATATTTAATTTCTTTATTTTATTTTAAATTGCAATTAGATAGCTAAAATTTTATTTATTCAAACAATATTCAAGTAAATAAAAATAACACAATGATTAACTTTGTCTAATGAAAAAACATTTATATTAAACAATTTGTAATCTATTAATTATTTTTAATTAAAAAAAAAAAAAGAAATCTAAAAAAAAATATGCCAGGCAGAAAGAAATGTTTTGTAGCTACATTGTTTAATGAGGCACCTTTAGAATCTGGAGGTTCTAAAATTCAACAAGTTATATGCAAATTTTGCAGCTTAAAGCTATCAAAAAACGACACTCGAATGACTGAGCACATTGCAAAATGTATGAAATGTGGCAATCAAATAAAAAACAAATATTTGAACGATATGCCTTTTAAACAGAAGAAAGTTCAAACTGAACTAATGATGGAAGAAGATATTCCTGAAAACTTACCTATTCAAGATATGAAAAAAGAGAAAAAAATATGTTTATCATCTGCTATTCCACAAGTTCCAACTGAGTCTTTCTTTCCAGCACCAAGCTGTTTTGGAAACCAAAGTAGGTCTACAACCCCTAAGTTTGGAGACTGTAAGGCAAATAAAACCAAATCAGATAAGCCTCCCTTAAAACGATTGTATTCTTCAACAAGAGTTCCATTCACAACTCAGAAAAATAAAATTGCATCCGGATACGGATGCAATTTTATCTTTCTGAGTTGTGAATAGTTGTGGATGAAATACGGATTTGACTTTACAATAGAAGACCTTAATGAACAAGAAAGCCAGAATACAGAATCTGTTATTAATTAAAAATAAATCTTTTAAATGATGTACTATATATTTACCATATATCATGTTATTAATATATATTATATTACATTTATAATAAAAATAAAAATTAAATAAAAGTAAATAAATTTTTTTTTAATCTAAAAAACAAAAAAAACCATAAAAAACACAAAAAACACAAAAAAAACATGTTTTTTTTGCAAAAAAAACACAATTAAAAAAAAACGGTTTTTTTTGCAACTCTATGCACATGCTTTAAAAAATGACATTTCTATGTTAGAAAAATGGGTAATACATTGGAAAATGCAACTCAATTTCGAAAAATGTAAAATCATGCATATTAGTAACAAAAAAAAAAAAAATTTCATGACTAACAATAACATAAAGCAAGAATTAACTACAGCTAAATTGTAAAAGGATCTAGGCATATTGATTTCAAATGATTTAAAATGGGAACCACAAATCAAAATTGCATAATCTATTGCAAACTATAAATTCGGTATAATATGCAAATCATTAAAGTATAAAAATAGTGAACTAATAAAATTATTGTATTGTAGTTATATCGGCCGCATTTAGAATTTGCAATACAGGTATGGAGTTTTTATCTTAAAAAAGATATAAATATATTAGAAAAAATTCAAAAACGAGTAACGAAATCTGTACCTGAGCTACGTCATCTATCATACAGTGAAAGACTAGAAAAAATGAAATTAACATCTTTAAAACAATGAAAAATACAAGGTGATCTCATAAAAATGTACAAATGGTATTATGATATAGAGAAAATAACTTGGAAAATACCCCCTCAACAATTGTACTCTTTAAACTCTTCTGGTCTGTGGTCTTCAAACATTCGAGGTAATAAACATCATTTATTCACCAATAAGAAATATTTAAATCAAAATTGTGATGGTTTTTTTACAAATCCCACAGTCAAGTTCTGGAACAATTTACCAATTGAAACAGTGGAAGTCAAAAATCTCAACTTATTTAAAGCTAAACTAGACTTAATTGTCTATCTTTAACTTTCTTGTTATGTCTGTAAAAGATTTAACTCGGCGTTAAATCTCAACAGTATTGTATATTATATTATTATACATCATCAGCGAACAATGCCACTTTTGATGTGAGAATTTCTGGGAGATTGTTGATGTAAACTAAAAAGAGTATAGGACAAAGAATAGAACCTTGAGGAACCCTTGAAGCTACAGAAAATCAAGAAAAGTGCTGTCCATCAAGGACAATTTTTTATACAAATGGTAAGGAAGGATTCAAAATCTAAAAAATGTTACCTGATGT